GGGGAGATGGGAGGCCTGAGAGGAAAGGAGCAGACCTGCTCCTGACTGTGGAGAGACACAAGCTGCTGGGGGCCCGACCAGGACATAGGCCACCATGAGACAGGCGGTGAGAGGATTCTGACCCCTAGTTTGAGATTAGATTGAATGAAGGTGATTAGGTACCACTAATGTTGACCACACCCTGATTCTGAAGACCAGTCCAGCTACCTTTCTTATGTTCAGTGCTATCCTCCAGGGTCCCAGGATATAACCTGGCCCTTCCAAGCCTCAGTTTCCCCACCTATAGCATGTACGTCTCTTCTCACCTGGACTGACGAGTCCTGTGTCCCCTGCACCAGACTTGTCGGCCTGCCCCTGAGCCGGTTGCTGGGTGTGCAGGATCAGGCCAGGAGGCCGGTGAAACCCAATGCCACATTGGAGAAACACTTCCTCATGGAAGGATGGAGACTCAACAAGGTGAGGTCCCCCGCTACCCTCTTCCATCCCCATCTGCCTGCATGGCTGCTGTGTGGATGGGGTCTGGGGATGGTATGTGGCCCCCTTGTTGGGGACAGAGAAAGCCCAGGGCAGCCTGTACCCCCCCACACACACACACACACCGTGCCTCACCCACCCCCACTCCACCTGGTCCCTTATCAGTAAGCCCAGCCAACCAATGGGCAGCTCCTGGGACTGGAGAGGGTGAGGGGTGTAGATTTCTCTCCTGTTTTGGGGAAGACTGGAAGAGTTGACTATTCTGGGGGTTCTGCAGTCATGTGACCCTCCCTCAATTCCTGTCCGTGGTGTAGCTGCCTGGTGGGCAGGGTCTGGGCTGGGGAAGAGGGGTGCAGCTCCTGCAGAATAGAGAGCTTTGTGACCCCTGTCCCCTGTCAGTTGCCCTCTGTAGGTAGAGGTGGGGACAAGGTCTCAACTGCCTGCCTGGAATAGGGGTGAGAATACATTGTTCTAGAGGGGATACAGGAAAACTTTTGTGGGGAGTTGCTCCCATCCCCAAGCCCCTTTCTTAATCCCAGTCCCCATCAGTCATTTGCCTGTCTTGTGAGCAGAACTGGGTTCTCACAGGCCTGTTTCAGGGGGCCGCACTCCATGCCCCACTACTCTCCTATCTTTATAGGTAGATAGCCCCACAGATGAGGACTGGGGCTGCAGGGGAGGGGGTAGCAGAGTTGGGTCCCACCTGTCCTGGGACAGGAGTGGGAAGTCACCTCTGTGACCCTGGCCCCCATCACCCCTTCCCCAGCCTCAGATGGCTGTCCTGGCCACGCAGTGTGGCCTCACGCTGCAGCAGACACAACGCTGGTTCCGAAGACGCCGGAACCAGGACCGACCTTGCCTGAGCAAGAAGTTCTGTGAAGCCAGGTCAGCCTGGGGTAGAGCTGGGGAGGAGGTATGGGTGGGAGGAGTCTGCTCGGTCAGCAGCCGCCTCATGGGCTTCCTCCCTGTCTGCAGCTGGAGGTTTGTCTTCTACCTGTGCTCCTTCTTTGGTGGCCTCTCGGTCCTCTACCACGTGAGTGTTCTTGACTGCTTCCTGGCCCCTCCACCTGTCCTACAGGCACCTACTATGCCCTGGGCCTGGCTTGGGGATGAGGGGGTGTGGAGGGGTGTGGGCAGAGGGGAAAGCATGTGCAGAGAGAAAGGAAGGAGAACTTGGCAGTCATTGCAGATGTTCCCTCAGTGGGAGCCCGTTGGAACCTAGTGTGGTTGGGGCTGGGGATATGGCAGCGAGTGAGCCCCTGGCCTAAAGTGAAGCAAAGAGGTAAGCAGATAGGAAAGATCAGAGCTGAGTAGCCTAACTGGTGTGGCTAAGTTGGTTGGGCATCCTTCTGTGCACCAAGAGGTTGTTGGTTCGATTCCCGGTCAGGGCACATGGCCAGGTTACAGGCTTGATCCCTGCAGGAGGCATGCAGGAGGCAGCCGAATCATGTTCTGCTTTCACATCGATGTTTCTCTTTCTTTCCCCCTTCTCTCTCTAAAAATCAATAAAAATATGAAAAAAAAATTTTAAACAGATCAAAGCTGAGTGACAGCAGTACCTCAAGAGCCAGGGGGACCCCAAGGAGGCCCTGGGCTGGGTGGGGGGCTGGGGTCTGATCTTTGGGCAGCCTCAGATGCCTGTGCCTCTCCCCCTCTCCAGGAGTCATGGATGTGGAGGCCAGTACTGTGCTGGGACAATTACCCAAACCAGGTGAGTGGCAGGGGTTGCCTAGGGGCTGGAGGGAGGATTGGGGAGGTCAAAGTTCCTATGGCCAAAGGCAGCAGAGCCATACAGGACAAGACAGTATAATCCCCCTCCAAGTCCCGCTTTCTAGTTCTGCACCCCCTGCGGAATAGAGAGGGGCTAGGAGTCAGGAAACTTGGAGCAGGAGCTGACACAAAACCACTGCCCTTGGTTACCTCCAGGGATAGGAGGGTCACACCATTTTTGCTCATTGGGATTCAAGCGTCCTGATTTTGAGCAAATTGGGGAGGGCCCCGAGGGAGTTTCCACTCCCCTCGCTAACCCTGTCCCATCACCCTACCACAGCCCCTGAAGCCAGCCCTCTACTATTGGTATCTCCTCGAGCTGAGTTTCTACATCTCACTGCTGATCACATTGCCCTTCGACACCAAACGCAAGGTGAGGACAGGCCAAGTTTCTGGCTGAGGAAGTGATGTCCTGGGGGAACCAGGATCCAGTTTCAGTTGGGGAGGGATGGCCTCACCCCGTACCTGGAGATCCTCTGGTACCTCTGGCCACCCAGCCTTGTCCCAGGTGTGACCCACCATCTCTTTCACAGGATTTCAAGGAACAGGTGGCGCACCACCTCGTGACCATCACCCTCATCACCTTCTCCTACTGCGCAAACCTGCTGCGCATTGGCTCTCTGGTGCTGCTGCTGCATGACTCAGCAGACTACCTGCTGGAGGTGGGCCCAGCCCACCCCTCTCAGCGGTCCTCCCCCACCCTCCCAGGTGCCCCTGGAGATGAGGCCCCGCCCCTCAGTCTTCCAGTGAGGTGAGGCCCCGCCCCCTCAGCTTTCCTGGGAGATGAGTCCCTGACCCTCTCTGTCTTCCTAGGAGTTGAGGCCCCGCCCCTAAGATTCCTAGAAGGTGAGGCCCCACCCTCTCTTCTCTTTCAGGTAGTTGAAGCTTCTCACTCAGAGACCCACTTTGTACCTTTCTAGGCAGTTCCTGGAGATAAGGCTCTGCCCCATGGCACCTTTTCCTTGAGAAGAGGTCCCCACCCCTTCCTACCTGGTTCTCCAGCACTACCACCCACCTGAGTCCTCTCTCTGCTGTCTTCCCCAGGCCTGTAAGATGTTCAACTATGCCCACCAGTGGCGAGTGTGCAACTCTCTCTTCATCGTCTTCTCCTTGGTCTTCCTCTACACGCGCCTTGTGCTCTTCCCCACCCAGTGAGTCAGCCTCTAGTGGGGGCTGGGGAGGCGGATGGACACGGCTGGGATGCAGGCCTGCCTCACCCTTGGTTCCAGACCCAGGGAGCAGGGGGTATTGGCTGGGAGGCTTCCAGGAGGAGACAAAGAAGGGTGTTGTGTTCCCAGCCCAGGGCACATGCTAAGGCCCAGAGGTGAAAGAGACAGAAGACAGGGCTCAGTCCTCATTCCCTTATGTGCCTGGTACATGGAATGGATGGCAGGGTCGGTCACCAGCTCACTGAAGTCTTTGCCCAGTATGTTTGCTGAGCTTCTCACAGCAGAGGGAGCAATATAAAGATCTCTGCTCACATGGAGCTGACATTGGGGGAATAAACTAAGACAAGTAGAATATAGCGTGTGTGGGGGGGTGGTGATCATGTTAAAGTTAGGCACAGGAAGTGTGTGGGTAGTTGGAATTACACAGGATGGTCAGGGAAGGTGTCACTGACAGTGTTCAGTACTGATCATAGCAGAATAGTGTTCCAGGCAGTGGAAACAGCACAAGCAAAAGTGCTGAGGCTGGACTGTGCTGGGCATGGTGGAGGAACAGCAAGGAGGCCCTTATGACAGGAGCAGATTGAGCTAGAGGGAGAGGAGATGTGAGGGCAGGGAGGGGACTCGACAGGTTGTAGGGCCATAGGGAAGAATTTTTTGAGGATATTTTTTCCATTGATTTTTAGAGAAAGAGTGGAAGGGAGGGGGAGAGAGAAAGAGAGAAAAACATCAATGTGAATTAATTTGGTTGCCTTCCACACATGCCCTGACCAAGGGTGGGATCAAACCCGAGACCCTCCCGTGTGCAGGCTGACACTATAACCACTGAGCAATGCTGGCCAGGGCAAGACTTGGGATTTTATCCCAAGTGAAGTGAAAGATTCTGAGTAGAGAAGGGAGGGGGGCTGGCTTGGGTGCTCACAGGCGCCCTCTGGTGGCTTCAGAGAGAACAGCTGGTGAGAGCCCCTGAACCAACACCCCCACCCCAACCCTGGGACAGGAGCTGGGGGACAGGGCAGAAGCCACTGCGCTAGTCCAGGTTAGTGATGATGGAACTGGACCAGTGCAGGTGAGAGAAAGTGGGTGGACTCGGATGACTCAAGGGTCATGAGATGATTATGAGCTTAGAGTTGTCCATTCAGGATCAGGAGCTCAGCTCTGGCTGTGCTGAATTTGAGGGGCCTCCAAGTCCCCCAGAAAAATCATAGAGGAAACTGGGCACACCAACTTGGAGAGATGTGACTGTTCAGTGTTTGCATCCATGAGACTGGACAGGGTCATCCAGGGGCCAGGTATGGACAGAGAGACCCAGTCCTAGAGCCCCTGATGTTTGCAGGCCAGGGGGAGCCTGCAGTGGAGATGCAGAGGGAGCAGCCATGAAGTGGGGAGATGGGAGTGTGGGTCCCTGAAGGCACTCGAGGAGAGGGCATCAGAGAGGAGGAAGGACCAGCTGTGCCCCTGCTGCATGAGCCAGGCAGGTCACTGGTGACCTTACAGCTGATTTGGGTGAGGGTGGCTGGGGGTGAAAGCCTGAGAAGAGAAGGAAAGGTGTGAAAGGACCACCCAGGAGAGCAATGAGAATACTAAGTGCTCCTTTGGGGTTCATGGTTGTGCACAGGCCAGTTGAGAAGCTTGTGTGACTTACTCATTTAACACAACCAAGTGAGAGGGAGCACTTAAATGCCTAGCTAAAGAGCCTAGGTATTATTCTGGGGGCAATGGGGAGCCATCAAAGGTTCTGGAGTAGGGAAGGTCACACAAGTTAGAGCTTCTTAGGACTGGGGGCTATTGCTGCTGATAAAGCCCACCTCTCCCTCCTGCCTAACCACTTGCCTGCCTCAGGATCCTCTATACCACATACTACGAGTCCATTGCCAACTCAGGCCCCTTCTTCGGGTACTACTTCTTCAACTCGCTTCTGATGATGCTGCAGCTGCTGCACGTGTTCTGGTCTTGCCTCATCCTTCGTATGATCCGCAGTTTCATAAAGAAAGGCCAGGTAGGGCCAAGTGAGGGTGGGCTCCTGAGCACCACCAAGAGCCCCAGCCCAGCCCCAGCCTTGTACCCACTTCTTGTTCCCCAGATGGAGAAGGACATTCGCAGTGACGCGGAGGAGTCGGTGTCGAGTGAAGGGGAGGAAGCCCAGGAGCATTCACAGCTCAAGAACGGGGCAGCTCAAGGCCCCCAGGCAACCCCCACTGATGGCCCTCGGAGCCGGGCAGCTGGGCGGCTCGCCAATGGGCACACGTTGGCCACGTAGCTGGCTGAGGACTGGCTGTGAGGGGTTGCCCCCAGTGCCTTGGATTTGTGGGGTGGCTGGACTGGCAGCCCTTGGGCCAGCTCTGTGAAGACAGGGAGGGCCCCACCCCAGGGTGGGGGGAGGGCTGGTGATCTGTCTCCAATCCCTTCCTTCTGCCTCCCTCCCACCTTCCCTCAGGCCATTAGACAGAGCTGGGGGATGGCAGGCTGCTGCAGCCCAACAGAGCCACCACCAGGCTCTTCAGTCCCCAGGTTGAAAGGGGTACAATAAAACTTGAACAGAGCCAAATTCTCTGCCTCAGAGTTTATGTCCCTGTCACAGCTCCTCGGAAGCCCCAAGGAAGACAGGGCTCTGTTTACATACCCCACTGACAGGACACTCACTGCCACCCCAAGACATATGCCCAGTCCCAGGGAGACCCAGACAGCAAGTGCCTGACTCCCAGCCAACGCTTTAGCCAAGCCACCTCCTTCCACCCCAGGGCAGCCTTCAGTCAGCTACTCACAGACCCAGCTTACAGATGACTTTGCCAGAGGTCACCGAGGTCAGAGGCAAAGCCAAAGGGCAAAGGAGAGGCTCATGCCTATCCTTGCAGCCCTTGCTCAGTGCTGGAAGAACCCCACCCTCATGGTCCCCCAGGCCTCCCTGGAAACGGGGAAATAGGGCCCATGAGTGGGGCTTTCGAGGGGTCAGCCTGCATGAGGCCACTTTCTCTTCCAGAGCTCTGTAGGAAGGTGTCCCCTCTTCCCCAGCTGAGACAGGCTGAGGGACTGTGTCACACACAGAAGAAATCACAACCACAAGGCCCCATGCAGGGCCCGAAAATGCCACCTTCAGAACAACAAAAAAGAGGTGAGTCATAGAAACGGAAGAAGTAGGAAATGCAGAGGACCCGCACTGCTTGGGGACAAGGGGGAGAGGAAGTGTGTCAGAGACAGAGGACAAATCAGAGAAAGAAAAATAACAGGGTTAGAGAGGAACGGATCTGAGAGAAGAAATGGCTCGGACACGGGGCAGGGAAAGCGGGAAAGGAGGGGAGGGGCGGGAGGAGACCCCCGAGTCCAGGTGGCTGAGGGGCACCAGAGGGAAGGCAGAAGACCAGGAGGCAAGGGAAAGGGTGCGGGCCTGGTCTGTGCAGAAGAACCGGAGATGGCGGTGGGGACACGTGGCAGGCACGAGAAAGGCTTCTGCTTTGCCTCCACCGAGAGACGAGAGACGGGGATGGAGGGAGAGGAAGGAGACTCAAGACAAAGGTGTTGAAGACGCCGGAAAGGGGGACAGGAGGTGGGAGAGGGACGCGCAGGTCGCAGGCAGGAGAGCAGCAGGTGGCACGGGGACGTAAGGCAAACGGGAAGAGAGAAGGGACTCTGGGCGATGGAGGGAGGGAAAGAGGCGCTGGAGAGAGAGTGGACATGGACGGAGAGCACCTGCAGCCGCCCGGGCGCCAAGAGGGCGAGGGGGCAGAGGGGCCCGTGGGAGGGGGCAGGTGGGCAGGCCGCGAGGGGGAGGGAGGCTGAGGCCGGGCAGGACAGAAGAGAGGGTGAACAGGTTACTCAGAGGGAAAGATACCATTTTAGACCCACTCACTTGGCGAAAATAAAGAAATTGGGCCACACAAGTGTTGGAGAAGATGGGGGTCAATAAGAATCACAGATATTACTGGGGAGAGTGTCAACTGGTACAATCATTTGGAAAACCAGCCTCATGTAAAACTGACCATTTTATAAAGTTCAAAGCATCTCAAAATGATGTATTGTTTAGGCTTAAATGCCTATCTAGTAGAACCAAAGTAGTCTCTCCCCCCCCACCCCTCTTATCCAAGGTCCCCAGCAGATACCTGAAACCACAGATCGTACCAAATCCTATATATACTATGTTTTTATTTCTGGGATTTTCCATTTAATATTTTTGTACTGCAGTTGACCACAGGTAACTGAGACCACGGAAAGCAAAACCATGGATAAGGGGGTACTACTGTATTTCTTTAATAAAATATAAACAAAAAATTCAGAAGACTGATATATTACCTTTGATCTGGGGAAGCAGGGCAATGGGATTCAGGTAGATATAAATTACTGTCACTGTTCTAGTTTTTGAAGTTGTGAGGTGTGGTGACATATATTATTAATAAATATAATTTAAAAGGGATATGCAGTCAAGAACCATATGACTTTACTCATGTGGGATATAAAACTGAAAGCAACAAATGAACAAATAAGACAAACAAAAACTCATAGACACAACAGTATGGTGGTTACCAGAGGGAAAGGGGGGTGAGGGGTTAGTGAAGGGTAGAGGGGGTCGAGTGGATAGACAGAAGGAGACTTGACGTTGGGTGGTGGACACAATGCAATATACAGATGTTAGAATTGTACACTTGAAACCTATATAATTTTATTAACCAATGTCACCACAATATAATTTTTAAAAAAACTTTAAAGGGGATATGCAAAAAGACAACATGCAACACAGGAGAAAGTATTTACTAGCCATGTATCTGAAAAGGGCCTAGTATCCAGAATATATAAAGAACTCTTACAATTCAACAACAACAAAAACACATCAAAAGATAGGCGAAGGACTTGAATTGACATTTCTCCAAAGAAGATGTACAAACAGCTAACAAGCACATGAAAAGATGTTCAGCAAATCAAATGATGTTCAATGTAAATCAAAACCGTAAGATACCACTTTACATCCATAAGGATGGATATAGCAAAAAATAGCAAGTGTTGAAGATGTGGAAAAATTGTGACAACCCTCGAAACATTGTTGGGAATGTAAAATGGTTAATTATTGTGGAACACAATTCAGCTCCTCAAAAAGTTAAAGTTACATATGACCCAGTTGAAAACAGGGCCTCAAACAAAATCTTGTATACAAATATTCACAGCAGCACTGTTCGCAACAGCCAAAGGTGGAAACCATGCAAACATCCATCAGGTGAGTGGGTAAAATGTGGTCCAGCCACACAATGGAATAGTATTCAGCCATAAAAAAGCAATACAGCCCTGGCCAGGTGACTCAGTTGGCTGGAGCATCGTCCCGCACACCTAAATTCTGCAGGTTTGATCCCCAGTCAGAGTGTGTATGGGAGGCAACCAACCAATGTTTCTCTCTCCCCTCTCTTTCCTCCCGGCCCCCCTCCTCTCTATTTAAAAAAACAAAACAAACGTCATTGGGTGAGGAGTTTTTTTAAAATACACATGCGAAAACATGAATGAACCTCTAGAGCATTATACTAGATGAAAGAAGCCAGAAAAAAGGTGACACCTTTTATGATTCCTTTTATGTGAAATACCCAGAATAGCTAAACCTATAATAATAGACTGCAGATTGGCAGCTGCCAGGGTCGGGGGTGGTTGAGGAAGGAAGGAATAACTGTTTAATGGGTAGAGATATTTTCTGGAGTGAACCTTAAGAAAGAACTCCCACCTGACCAGCTTGGTTCAGTAGTTGAGCGGCCACCAATGAACCAGGAGGTCATGGGCTCCGGTTGCGGGCTTGAGTTTCGAGTTTCGGGCATGATCCCCAGTAGCCGGGTGTGCAGGAGGCAGCCGATCAGTGACTCTCATCATTAATGTTTCTCTCTCCCCCTCTCCCTCCCTCTGTCTGAAATCAATAAAAACTTTTTTTAAAAAAAAGAACTCCCATGCTCATTTTGGCAGCACATATAATAAAACTGGAATACAGAGAAGACTGGTGTGGTCCCTGCACAAGGATGACGCGGAAATTCATAAAGCATTCCATTAAAAAAAACACCCACAACACCAATTCCCAAATATCAGTAAGAAAAAGAGCCACCCAAAAGTAAAGGAACAAACAGGATATGAACAGGCAAGTCACAGGAGTGTGTGGATCCTAAGAAAAGACGTACCTAAAAAGGGCCTATAGTGCCAATAAAGGGCACTAACCCCGGCCAGCTCAGTGGCTAGAGCATCCACTGCACACCAAAGGGTCAGGGGTTCAGTTCCCAGTCAAGGACAGGTATCTGGGTTGTAGGTTTGGTCTGCACCCTGCACCTGCAACCAATCAATGTCTCTCACATCGATGTTTCTCTCTCCCCTCTCCTCTTCCACTCTAAAACAATAATCAATGGAAAAAATATCCTCTGGTGAGGGTTAACAACAGGAGACTGGGGGAGGAGGAGGGAGAGGGGGAGCTGGGCTCCTCTCCCGGGGGGCTTGCTGACCACCCCTCTTCCCATTCCCTCCTGGGGCTGCTGCTCCCTTCTTCGGTTTTCAGCCTAGGCCTGCTTTTTCTTCCTCTCTCAAAGCCATCCATTAATTTAGAATCTATAAAATGGCATGTCTTTATTTTTTTGTTGTTTATTTTTGAAAGTATTACAGATGTCCCCTTTTAACCCCCATTGATTCCCTCCACCCCCTAAAATGGCAAGTCTTTAGGCAGTAGATTCCAAGAGGGGAAGATGGAGTTTAGTGACACAATATAGGTTAGGATGGCAACCAAATAATGACAAAAATTGTATAAAATCGATACTTTTTTTGAAACTCCTTTGGCTCCTGGAAATGACAGTGGTTGTGAAGGGGTTGGGGAGCTGGCCTGGGGGCTCTAGCAAAGGCGGGAACTGTCTCATGCTAACCCCTACTCCTCCCCCACCCCCAATAAAACTGGGCCCCTTAAGTAGCTGCTCTAAACTGACCCTGGCAAAGCTGATCTTCTTTAATCAACCTTTCTTTCCCTTTCTTTCCCTTTCTTTCTCTCATCTCCCTACTAGAAGGAAAAAAAAAAAAAAATGTTTTTAAAGACATTCAGTGGCTAGCTGGGCTATTTAAAACAAAAAAGACAGAGCCTAGCAGCCACTCCTACACAAGCTCTCTGGAGCAGCCCGCACTGAACCGCAGCGGGCACTGCGGTCCTGCGGCTGCGCCAGCGTTTATAAAGGACTTCCTGGAATCCTATTCAGCCAATAGGACTGAAGCTGTCCCCAACCAATCTGAGCTGGGCAGCTACACCCCCCCCCC